CAAATTTATGGGATGCTGAGCCCTACAGAAAGGGGATCCTAAACACCCGAAGTTTTGGGGTGAAACCCCTCCAATTCTGGGATGTTAAACCCCAAATTTGGTGTTTTCAACCCAAAAGATGTAGGGTATAAAACCCTATAGGTATGGAGCATCATGCAGAGGATTTTAGGGTGTTTTACCCCAAAATTTTGGGGTGCTGAGCCTTACAGAAAGGGGATCCTAAAGATCCAAAGTTTTGGGGTGAAATCCCTCAAATTATAGGATGTTAAACCCCAAATTTGGTGTTTTCAAACCCAAAAGATATGGGGTGTAAAACACTAAAGCTATGGGGTGTTATATTCAGGATTTTAGGGTGCTTTACCCCAAATTTATGGGATGCTGAGCCCTACAGAAAGGGGATCCTAAACACCCGAAGTTTTGGGGTGAAACCCCTCAAATTCTGGGATGTTAAACCCCAAATTTGGTGTTTTCAACCCCAAAAATATGGGGTGTAAAACACTAAAGCTATGGGGTGTTATATTCAGGATTTTAGGGTGCTTTACCCACCTGTCACTTCCTCACAGTGACATCGCCTCTCCTCTCCGCCCTGCCGCCCTCCCGGAGGTTTTTTCTAGGCGTTGCCAAGGCAACGCCTCCGCTGCGTCAGCCGCTCTCGCGAGAGCTGCCGGGTTTCTCTGTGATCTCGGGAAACACCGGAAGCGGAAACCGATCGAGACCCACGTGTTCTTCGCGAGACCCACGTGTTCTTCGCCATCAGCCGCTGCGGCTCTGGCTGAAACAGCTCCGAAGCGCCGATCCTCGGCGATGAACACCATAAAATCCTCAGCATGGCACCCCATATCTTTAGTGTTTTACACCCCATATTCTGGGGTTGGAAACACCAAATTTGGGGTTTAAGATCCCAGAATTTGAGGGGTTTCACCCCAAATCTTTCGATTCTAGGATCCCTTTCTGTAGGGCTCAGCACCCCAGAATTTTGGGGTAAAAGACCCTAAAAAAATCAATACGGCACCCCATATCTTTAGGGTTTCCGATCCCATATCTTTTGGGTAGAAAACACCAAATTTGGGGTTTAACATCCCATAATTTGAGGGATTTCACCCCAAAGCTTTGGGTCTTTAGGATCCCCTTTCTGTAAGGCTCAGCACCCCAAAATTTTGGGGTACAACACCCTAAAAACCTCAATATGGCACCCCATATATTTAGTGTTTTACACCCCATATTCTGGGGTTGGAAACACCAAATTTGGGGTTTAACATCCCAGAATTTGAGGGGTTTCACCCCAAAACTTTGGTTATTTAGGATCCCCTTTCTGTAAGGCTCAGCACCCCAAAATTTTGGGGTGAAACACCCTAAAATCCTCTGCATGATGCTCCATACCTATAGGGTTTTATACCCTATATCTTTTGGGTTGAAAACACCAAATTTGGGGTTTAACATCCCAGAATTTGAGGGGTTTCACCCCAAAACTTTGGGTCTTTAGGATCCCCTTTTGTAGGGCTCAGCATCCCATAAATTTGGGATAAAACACCCTAAAATCCTCTGCATGGCTCCCCATATCTTTAGGGTTTCCGGTCCCATATCTTTTGGGGTTGAAAACACCAAATTTGGGGTTTAACATCCCAGAATTTGAGGGTTTTCACCCCAAATCTTTCGATTCTAGGATCCCTTTCTGTAGGGCTCAGCACCCCAAAATTTTGGGGTAAAAGACCCTAAAAAAATCAATATGGCACCCCATATCTTTAGGGTTTCCGATCCCATATCTTTTGGGTAGAAAACACCAAATTTGGGGTTTAACATCCCATAATTTGAGGGGTTTCACCCCAAAGCTTTGGGTCTTTAGGATCCCCTTTCTGTAAGGCTCAGCACCCCAGAATTTTGGGGTACAACACCCTAAAACCTCAATATGGCACCCCATATATTTAGTGTTTTACACCCCATATTCTGGGGTTGGAAACACCAAATC